GTTGAAAAATTTTCCACTCCTTAGGGGGGCGGCAGCTTCAAAAAGGTTGAGAATCACTGATGTAGACCATAGTACTGTAGATTGTAGGGAGTCTTTAAAAACGTCGGTATACCAGCTGCAACTTTTTTTTTTTAAGAATTAGTATCGTGACCAGAAAGCCACAGTTAGAATGGCATAGGAACAAGTGAATGGGAAAGAAGGGTGCCAAGGTTGTATATGATGATCTTATTACTTAATTTATATACAAAATGTATCATGATAAATCCTGGATTGGAAGAAATTGGAATTGGGATTAAAATTGCTGGAAGAAATATCAACAAACTCAGATGGGGTGATGATACCACTATGATAGCTGGAAGTGAGGAAGACGTATGGAATCTCTTGTCAAAAGTGAAAGGCAGTCTGCTTTTCAGTATAACCCCCCCCCCCCTTTATGTTATCAGTCAAATAGGGAGAGGAGAAGTTGAAATAGTAAGGACTTTATCTTGCTGGGATGAAAAATTCTCATGAATGGTGACTGTAGCCTTGAAACAAAGAGACATCTCTGCTTGGAAGAAAGACTCTGACCATTCTAGAAAAAAGTGCAGAGACATCACACTGACCCTAAAGGTATATGTTGTCAAGGCCACGGTTTTTGCATTTGTAACATATGGCTGTGAAAGCTAACTCATCAGAAGGGCTTAACGAACAGAACTGTGATGCTGGAGAAGATTATTGAATATACCATGAGGAAGAAGATATAATTTAGTACTAAACGAAGTAAAACTAGACTGCTCATTAGAGGCAGAAATAATGAAGGGAAAGTTTAAATATTTTAGCCATATAATGTGAAGCCAAAGATACTGATTATTGGAAAAATAGCAATCAATTGGCTAACAGAAGACAAGGTGGCTAGATATGATCACTGATGGCACAAGCATGAGCATTTGAACATTCAGAGAAGTACCAATGGAAGAGAATACATGTAGCTCAGAGCTGAACTATGGAGTCCTTAGGATTCTCTGAGCTTGGTTGTTTTCTTGCAGCCCTCCAAAACATCTTAAGCAAACCAAAAGACTAGTAGCCCAAGAAGAAAAAACAGGAGTCATCTACAACATACAGTGTAAGGACTATAACAGCCCCTATGTAGGACAGACAGGCAGAAGGCTAGCAGAGCGCATCCATGAACACCAACTAGCAGTCACAGGACACAATGAAAGCTCCTTAATCTCACACGTGGACAGACTTGACCATAGTTTCAACTGGGAAACTGTCAGCATCTTAGATTAAGCTAAATCCAAAAATGCGAGGGAATTCCTGAAAGCTTGGTTTCAGACAAGTCAGCTATCAACAGGCACAGAGAGATAAACAACATCTACATACGATTCAAAAGAAATAAAAAGGAAATAAAAAGACCAGAACACCTCACCAACAATCAACACCCAGGTAAGCAGAGATCAACACCAGGATTAACACCAGACAAACAGTCAAGCAGTAAACAATACCCTAATCAAGGAACTACCAACTCAGACAATCA